TTGCAGATATGCCTGGAAAATCAAGAAAGGAAAAGAAGGACATGAAGGAGCTGACTCCTCTTCAAGCCATGATGCTTCGAATGGCTGGTCAGGAGATCCCTGAGGAGGGACGGGAAGTAGAGGAATTTTCAGAAGACGATGATGATGATGATGATTCTGAAGCAGAGAAGCAATCACAGAAACAGCATAAAGAGAATTTTCATTCTGCTGATGGCACGGTTACTGCTTCTTCCCAGCAACAGGTGCCCCCACAGTCTGTCCGCCTTCTAAGATTCAAGCGCCGCCGACGCCAGGCCCGCCTCCTCTGGGACCACCCCCTGCTCCACCTTTGCGGCCTACTGGACCACCTCCAGGGGCTCCTCCATTCCTGAGACTCCGAGCGCCACCACCGGGCCGACCCCCTGGCTCTCCCCCTGGTCCTCCTCCAGCGCTGCTCCCTGGCCCTCCTCCCCACCACGGCTGCATTCGGCTGCATTTCCCTGCACTACCAGGTATCCCTCTGCCCTGTCCTGGTGATGCGCCCAACTTTGGTGACTCCACTCGTACCTGCCCCACCTGGGCTCTTCCCCCCCAGCTCCCTTGCCGAACCCAGGCGTGTTGAGTGCCTGCCCCGGCCAACTTGATTCAGCGACCCGAGGCGGATGACAGGAGTGCAGCCACCATTGAGAAGAAAGCCACAGAGCGCTAAGCCACAGATCATTAACCCCAAGGCAGAGATTACTCGAGTCGTGCCCACTGCACTGAGGGTACGTCGAGAATAAAGGGGCCACTGCTGCCCCCCAAAGAAAGTCAGAGGTGATTCCGCTGTGCCTCTTGCCAAAGCAGCCCCCAAATCTGGTCCTTCTGTTCCTGTCTCAGTACAAACTAAGGATGACGTTTATGAAGCTTTCATGAAAGAGATGGAAGGGCTGCTGGGACAGCTTCCGATGCCGAAACAGGCTTCTGTTCACAGCAGCGGTTCACGGAGCAGGACACTCACACTACAGCTTACGTGAAAGAGCGGCTTCACTGTCGGGTTATTTTCTAATTTCAGCTCAAGGAATACCCTAGAGTCCAGCCTTGTTCGGAATGTCCTGCACATGAGAGGGTATTTCATCCAGAAGACTGGTTACCGAAGCCGTGCTGCTAATATCCATTCTCTCCACACTGTCATTTGTATCCCCTTTCTTCCCCTCCTGCAATTTTTTGGAAATTTGTGACCAGGCACGTCTTTTACTTGTTTTGACTCTCTTGTGTGCCGTGGGGCCTGGAATAGAGATTTCTCAAAAAAAAAACCAAAAAAAACAAAAAACAAAAAAAACAACAAAAACCCAGTTTATTTCATTTTAGTTTTTATGTTTGAGTTTTAAAAAATATTCTCATGTAAACATTTTGTAGTATTTTACTTGTAGTGAAATGGGTTGCAAAGTCATTTCCTAATTCAAAGTAGGATATGTGGGGAGAAAATACACAATTCTTTGATTAAAATTATTTCCCCCTGACCTAAACTTTGTTTCATGGAAAAAATAAATAAATGTTCTACACCAAGAAAAAAAAAAAAAAGAACCACAAAGTATGGGAAGTGGCAATGAGTATACTGTTGTATGGGCCTTAAATTACATGAATGAATACAGTATAAATCCATGCTTAACTGTGATAGGTAGAGGTGATCTTCTGGGAAATACACGGAAGAATCATTTAAAGAGATATAACTACGTTGAGGATATAAAACAATACCGAAAAATGGAAAGAAAAGTAGATTAAAGAACAGCAGCAACACAGGAACAAAAGGTACCAAAAAAAAAAAAAAGGTAGACTTACTCAGCCATATCAACTATTACTATAAATGTCAGTGAACTAAGTACTTCAAGGTTTAAAAATAAGGTTTAAAAATAAGAAGTAACTATGAGCTGTTTGAAGGGATATCCTCTAAGTACAAAAGCATGGACAAACTGCAAATAAAAGAATGGAAAATAATTTATTATAGAAGTACTAATTGTAAGAACTGGTATGGCTATACTAATATCAATTAAAGTTCAAAGCAGAAGTACTACCAGCGGTAAAAAATGATACTTTATTACAACAGTATCATTTATCAAGATGACATATCAATCCTAAAGGTGAAGGAAACTACTCACAGTTCTTCAAAGTATAGACAGCAAAGGCTGACAAAACTAAATGGAGAAAGAGACTCACAATTACATTTTTAGATTTAAAGCTCTACTTTTGGTAATTGAAAGAAAAGCAGACAGGCTGCAGAAGATACAAACATTATAAAAAATTCACCTTAGTAAGGAAAAATACTCATTAAAGATGCTAAGTGCACATTATTTTGAAGTGTACATGGAAAATTCATCCAGAAAGGCCAAACACTGGGCTACTAAAAACTTAAAAGCATTGAAGTCATACAGAATATTGTATGGCCACAATGACATTATGGTAATAAAAAGTCATGGAGCATGGAGCAGAGACAAAGACAAAGTGCCTGAGAACGGGCTGTGTACTCTGCTTTGATAGGCAGCACCTCACTCCCGCCCCATCCCAACTCAGCAAGGTCTTCCTACATCTGTTTTACAGATGAGACAGACAAAACAGTGTCACTTGCCTGAAGCCATCCAGTATGTGAAAATATTAGGATTTGAATTCAAATCTACTCTTCTGCTTTTATGCTAGAAATACTTGGATTCTGTCTGAATTCCATTTTGATAAACTTCCTAGGTACTTCAGAATACACTTGATTTTTAAAACTTTTATATTGATATGCTGGTGATATATTAATTCCATTCATCTTGGGGAACTGGTACATATATACATTGCATCCAATCATATTTACTTCCCCTTCCGTTTCCAGTCTACCTCTGTCCCCCACTATGTTTCTTTTTGGTACTGGGCATCAAACTCGGGTCCTTGCGCTTGTGCAGCAGGCGGTGAACCACTGAGCTAAATCCCTGGCCCTGACTCCTACTTTTGATGGACATGTTAGCTCATAAACTGCTCCCACTGAGATGCCATGCTGAACAAATAACGTATCCAAAGGAGCAAAAAGTTATTCAATACATAACACTGTCACTAGAGTTTTTGCTTAGCGAATTTTTTTCTCCTTTCTGAATAGCTTTTATTCAGAAGGTATAACAAAATGTGTAAAGTGCCTGCATCTTATGTGTACAGCTCAGTGATGTTTAAATACACCATGACTCATCACCCAGATTAAGATATAAAACATACCTACTCAGAAGTTTGTCTATGCAGCTGGTACACATTTACTCCTGTCCAGACGTAACCACTAGAACGACTTCGATGACACTTTTAGGTTTATCTGTTCTTGAACTTACACATGGAAACAGCATTCATTATCTGGCTTTCGCATGACATCTGTGCGATTCATCCATGTATGTAGCAGTTCTTGCTTCTGTATCATTCTTGTATAGTTCATTGCTCTTTTTCAATTCCTCTCCTATACTTAGCTTTGTAAGGTTTCATTTTCATAGACACTAATAGAATAGGCTCTGGGGAATGTGCAGCCTGTTTCAGCCTCTGCTGACCAAGAAAACCCAACTGTTGAGTCTGAACCTTTCACAGCCAAGGTCTCTAGTCCACACCAATTACCTTCTGTTATGCACTCAATGCATCACCTTATTCCAAATAAGATGTCCTCTGGAGGTGGAGCCTTTGGGAAATCAGTTAAGTCATGAGGGTAAAGGATGAGACAAGTGTCCTTACTGGAGACTTTTAGGGCACAGAAGGTAACATTCAAGATCTTGAAGAGCCCTCACAGGAAAGAATCACCCAGCACCTTGATCCTGGACTTCTAGCCTTCAAATCTTTGAGAAATGTCTGCTAAGTCACTTGTCAATGGTATTGTAGCAGCACTGACATGCCATTTTACACTTTTAAAAATAACATTCAGCATGTTATTTCCAAAAATGTTTATAGGGAAAGTTAAATATTTACACAAAAGCATATGGAGGGAAGAGCAGACAGAACTGATGGCTTATCTGTAGGAAGTATGGGGCCTTCAGCTCCACGGGAAGCTCATTAGCAGGGCCCCTCACCTAGCCAAGCTTCGTAGGGCTTGGTATGACAAGCCCACTTCCTTAGGTCTTCTTGTCTCATCACTACTACAAGAGGCTTGAAGGTTGTTTCCACATTTTGTCTTCACAAGGATCCAGTGCCCCAAGAAACCTCCCTTCCAGCTCTGCAGAGGCACAGCCTACCCAACACCACATCCTGGGTCTCGCCACCAAGAGGTCCTTCAGAAGCCCACAAAAGCTCCCTGTTTCTCATGAAGGGTTCACAAGTGGCCTCAGAGATGAGCTGGGGTCAGAAAGCTCTTCTCCGTACAGCAGAAGTGACCAACAGGAAAGCAGGACCCGGGTTAGAAGGTGTGTGTGCCAGTGTGTGCTAAGTGGCCACAGTATTTCTACCAGAAGAGAGCACCTCCTGTTTATTTCAGGGTTTATAGTTCTGTCCACTAACCCTGCACTCTCAGCTGCATTCAGATAGTAACATTCATCAAAGTTGTATGAGGCTTACTTTGTTTTTGGGGAAGAGCACCATTACCTGTGTGAGAAAATGTGAACACATCTCATCAGAATTAAAGGCAACTGTTAAATTTGAGACTTTAAATGGACTTGTTACAATATAACTTAGGTTACTCTGTTACCTGCAGAGCAGCAGCTGCCAGTTACAAATGCAACCTCAGCCCCACCCCAGACTCACTGCACCAGCAAAGAGCCCAGCTGACAGGCAAGCTGGGCAGACACAAAAGTGAGAGCTCTGAGAAAGCCTGTATGCCTGGGGGAAGCGAAGCATGCAAATGTGCTGGGAATGTGGATGCTATCCAGAGATGGGGTTACAATCAACCATTTAGGAACCCGATTCACAAAACTCAGTGCATTTCATGATTTATGAGTTTTATAGAGAAGGTAGGGCAGTATGTAAAATATTCCCCAAGTAAAATCTGGAGTGAACTGCTTTTAGAAACTACAAAATGAGTAACAAACAAAACTACAGAAACTGCATTTGATTTGAAAATTTAATACACAGTAGCAACCAGAATAACAGGCCAAGCAGAAGAGCTGATGCTGTTTTGACAGTACTCTTGGCATGTATAGGGAGGAGCAAGAGGAAGAGAGGAAGGAAGAAGACAGGGATCTTTACACATGACCTCTGGGCAAGTCTCCTTTCCTCCTATAGAGTTGTCTTTAAATTTAACTGAATCAGCAAATTTAAACAAAGAAAGAAGGAAAGTTCCTTTTCTAATAGCCATCAGAGCCCGATGAGTTTTATTTAATACTGAAAGCTTGGGGCAAGGTGACCAAACAGCCAGCTACTCTAATTGCTGAAGAAACATCATAGATAAGGTGCCAGGAATCCAAGATTACTCTTGAAGAGTTGCAATGGACTCCAGTGGTTTAATGTATACAATAAAGACGCAAAAAAGTTATCAAGAAAAATTTTTTTAAAGTGATAAATTCCAGTGAATCAGGTCCCAGGTAGTCTTTAAAGGAACAAACATTTACAGTAAACATTTTAAACTCTGGAATGCAGGTATTGTACAATTAATTACCAGTTCATTTACAAAACTGCTTAGACAGTAGTTGCTCCAGAGTAAGAATTAAAAAATGTACAAGCCAGTTCACAATGACTTTACATATATTAAAATACATTGTCAATCATAAAAATACTTTACTATGTACATGTACATGTACACTGTATAAACTCTAAGTCACCTACTGAAGGAAGCCTGTAACTCACTTTCTAGCCCTTTGGCCTGGGCAACACCACAGGGCTAGTGTTTGGTCTCCACACCTTCCACACGGGCTGGTCAGTCCTGCAGATGCTCTTCAATGTCGGTACATGCATCTTTTTGCAGAATCTCTCTGCGGCAAGTCTAGCTGGAAGAGTCAGTTTTACTTCCACTGTACCTTACTTTCCTAAATGCTGATCCTGATCCTAGTAACTCTGGGCATTCACATAATTCATTTGCAATTTGGTTACACTTCAAAATAAGGTTATAGTTCATTTCATCAGTTATTACACTGTCTTGCTTGTAGTCAGGATGGTTTGCAATGAATTCTCTCATCCACCTGGCAACTGTCATTAGTTCTCCTGAAACAAACATTTTTAAGACAATATAAGACATGTTTTTAAAAACTGAATTGGTACTTAGTGGCCAACCTAAGCATCAGTCTATAAAGAAAGCAATCTGACCTGTCAGTGTAGCCACATGGCGGGGAACTGGGAACAATATGCTTCTCACGGTATGTGAAGAATTCCCCCTGTGGGAGGGCAAGGCCGCAACACGTCCACTCCTATGGTTACTTGTTAAGTGTTACCCCGTACAGTTATACTGCCACCTCGTAAGGGACAGGAACCAGTGGCTGTACACAAGCACACATATCCTCCCTTGTGGTCATGAGGCTGCCTCCGAGGACCACAAGATACTCCAGGACAATCGTTCACTGCTCAAAGCAGTGGAGAAAACAAAGACTAGGAAGCAGTGAGCACAGTGAATCAAGAGGGAAATTGGCAGATGAACCATTTGAGGGGTGCTGTGGGGTTCTACAGTGGACCCTTTATGACTGTGGAAGTGAAATGCAAACATCATTACTGTTATGACTCCTTCTGTCATTAGCAGCTGGTATCCCTGGTGCCAGGCACTGTAAACATGACCTCCTCAAAGCCAGCAAGCAAAGGCACCCACAGGTCACCCACCATGCTGACTGGCCATGCTGAAGGGCTGGCCACATGAGCTGCAAACTGAATCTGCTTTCAGAGGCACTGCCCTGCAGGATGTGCAAAGAGCACAGAGCAGGTCGCAAATGACAGGCAGGCCACTGGCTGCACTGCACTGCACCACCTCAGACGCCACGGACTTGAAGATGTGTCACTTTTCCGTAAGTCAGTAAGAAGGAAACATTCTGCTAATTCAAACTGTGACCATCAAAAACTATAAGGCCTATCCAAATTGCAAAGTTGTTAAAATGTGGAAAATGTGCAGGGACAAATTTGGTGTATTTTAAAGGGTCCTTGAAGAACTATTTTAAGAGTCTGTGCTTCTGTGTACTGTAGAAGATGAAGAAAAAGGAAAAAAGGCCACTATACCAGATGCTCTCTTCTTAATTAGCTTCAGGTAGTTCATAATACTGCATCTGGTATCCACATCCACCTCCATATTTTCCAGGTAAGAATTCAGGATTGGGATGAGTCCAGGAAAAACACCTTCCTGCAAGAAGCAAGTGGACAGATCATGAGGCCCTGGAGCTGGTGCGCAGAGCGAGGGTCGGGCAAGCCTACCTTCCCGTTGATGATGGTGTCTATGCTCATGAGCGCATACTCCTCTGAGGACAGGTCTGCGCCGCCAGCAGGGGCCTTACCACACCCGTCCACCACAGTGTTGCCACCTGTAGAAGGGCAGATGAGCTGCAGCAGCTGGTGGCAGCAAAGACTGACTGTCGAAACATAAGAAAATGTAATACCTTTGCAAATATCTTTCCTGAAATAAAACATTCCCTGCAAGACAGCATCTCGTTTCTGTGCTACTTTCATGTTTTCATCAACCTGAGGGAGAGAAAGAATCACAACTAAGTCAAGACATTCCTCATTACAAGCTGAGGTGGTGGTGCCTTCCTCACGCACGCTGTACATATTCTACTTCTCCTCCAGTCCTTCCGGCTGGACATTTGTACTACATGGGGCTGCAACCCTTGGCATGGGTTGAACTGTGCATGTGAGAAACAATGGGAGATACAGAGAAGCATACCTTAGAGAGTATTTGGGTGGGAGGTCTCATTTCACAGGACCTCTGCACTAATCCCTGTGTGTGTCTGTGGTGCTAAAAGGGCAGGTGAGTGGCTCCATATACCCTTCAGAGGTGCCAGGGAGACAGGGGCAGGGCAGGAGCCCACTTCTCCGGACCGCAGGTCAGTGCCTGTCCCTCCTGCCAGGGTCTCTGACAATTTCACTTGGGAGAGACAGGACTGGGGGCTTGCAGACCAGAGTCCCCAGGGTTTTTTGACTTCCTGGTTGCTTTGGCCATGTCGACTCTCATGAGCCTAAAAATCTCCCTTTTATTTGTGAATTCTCCACTTCGCCAATGACTTCTTAAGACCCTTGAAGCAGATCCTTTAAAGTGTTTAGTAGTTTGTGGTGCCTCAACATGAGACACAGGCAAAGGGCCAGGTGAAAGAGAATGAGTGTACAAGCCCCGCCACACTCATTATGGGGGAGTCCTTTGTGACCACTTTGTTCCCTTACATGCTGGACCTGCAGAATAATCTTGACACGTCTAACAATATATTCCAATAATAGTCTAAAAGTCTACCATGGCTGTGGATATCTCTAATCTTTCAATGAAAATTTTTTCTTAGTCTTGACAAAAGTTCACAGAGACTTAATTTCTGCTTTCACAAAATCTTTTAAAAGCATATTTTAGCTGGGCATGGTGGTACACATCTGTAACCCCAGCACTCAGGGGCCTGAGGGAAGCAGATTGCAGTTTTGAGGCTAGCCTCGGACTATAAATGAGACCCTGCCTCAAAACACCAACCAACAAACCAAACCAAACCAAACCAAACCAAACCGAACCAAACCAAAAGGTGTGTTTTGCAACTGCTCTTCAAATTCTTAACTGCTAAGGTTTATTTTCATTCTTTTTCTTAAAACTAAAAGCCAAGGTATTTTTCTTAAAGATACTAGCTCTGTCAGTGTCTCACTGCCATTCACTTTTTCCTACATAATCTGCCATTCTAGTTTTGACTCAATTTAAAATATATTAGGAAAAGTATTTTAAATTTGCAATGATTAAGTTTCTCTTGAATATCATTCTGCTGAATTTTGGTGGGAATGCATCCCACACAACATCTACTTCAAATGTGCTCTGGGAAGGGTAGTGCTCGAAGATGCACCATCCTCTCACCCTGGGGCTGTCGGTCACCAGGTCACAGTGAGGTGAGGTGCTCTGCTGAGGGCTTTCTCTCCCCACAAGATAAGCTCTCTGCAGCCTACAGACCCCTCTCCATATGGAAAATGAGGCACTGAGGGCAGAAGTAACCTCCTTAGGTTAAAAAGCATGTAAGCCGAACAACTGACTGACGGATGGAGCTCTGACATCGACATCCGGGCCATGTCTTCCCCGAGCCCCGACTTTCCTCATATGTCTAGAAGTGCAGCTCCGCTTTCTGGTACCAAGAAGAACCAGACACTAGTACCACATTGGAAGAGTACTAACACTGCTTTCCGGACCCCACTGAACAGTTTCTTCTACTTCACATTTTATTCTGGTCGGTGTTGCTGTACCACTCCTTCAGAAGGTCATCACGTAGCTCCTTATGGCAAGCCTGTGTCCTTATTTTAGGCACCCTTCACACAAACTTATGTTGTAGTACTGCCGATTTATGTTCCCCATTTTACCTTTTAGTAAGAGTTTACTCACATTTGTTTGATTTTATTTCTTTTCCCTGCTTTATGTTCTCTGGGTTTACTGTTTTAGCACTCTCAGGGCCCACCCCACCTCTGTGGCACTGAAGCTTTCTGTTTTCTTTATTCTTTCAGCCAAAGGTTTAGAAGCAAATTCAGATAGATTTAAAAAATTCTATTTCTATACTAGTAGTTTACTTTTAAACAAGCACTTTTGAAATTACTGTTCACTAAATGTCAGGCATTAAAATGTACCTACCATTTGCCTCCTACCACTTCCTTTGCTAGATGCCAGCAGCTGAGTAATTCACCATGAAACCCAATCCCCGCAGGGAAGTGTCACAAGGCGGGGCCTCTGGGGGCACTGATGCTCTTACAGAGCAGTCTCAGGTAGCCAGCTCCCCTCAGGTGACCATGCAGGGAGACCGGGCCCCTGAAACCAGTGAACCCTCATCAGATCCTAAATTTCCCAGGGTCTTCATCTTTGATTTTCCAATCCCTAGAACCAATGAGAATAAATTTCTGTTTATAAGCCATTCAGTTTATAGCTATAGGAGGCCGGACAGATATAAGATACTGCTGGCATACTTTTAGCCGTAGGTTAACCTATTAAATTTTGCAAGAATCAGTTGGAATTTAAAGAATTTAGGCAGGAAAATAATTCGACAGTCATATTTTTTTACTGCTCAGGAGTTGGGATTTCTTTCTGTTTTTCTCCTTAATGTTTGTCTATTATTTCTTTCATTACGGTATCTCACATCTCTTCTATATAGACTTTTCTTCTAAATTATTAGACAAACACTGAACTTTCCAATGTAATTTTCCATAATTTTGATTTCTCTTGCCATTTTGCAGGAATGAATATGAATCTGGTTTCCCAAGTCACTATGCAGGGTCCTCTGTAACGTGTTTTCCTGGTGTGCATACTGAGTTTTAAAAGTATTTGTTTCTGCCACACATGGTGGGAGTCACCTGTAATCCAAGTACTCAGGAGGCTGAAGCAAGAGGATTGCCGCTGTGTTTGAGCCCATCCTGGGTTAATAGCCAGCTCAAGGCCAGCCTGACTACATAGTGATACTTTGTCTCAAAATGTCAAAACACTAAAAATATGAAAATAAAAAGCACTTGCTTCTGAAAACTCTCATGTTTCCCATGGTCTTTGGTCCATAGTGCTTGTCTATGGATGCCACCCTCCCAGGTAGTTCTATGCCCACTCATTAGGGTCTGCTTAAGAACTCTTTCCACTATAAAGCTACTGTGATAAAAACAGCACAGTACTGGCAAAGAAATAGACCTGAGGACCAGTGGAACAGATAAGAAGATGCGGAAACAACTCCAGACACACTCAGCCAACCTCATCTTCGACAGAGCCAAACACCCTCACTGGAGGAAAGATAGCCTCTTTAATAAATGGTGCTGGAAAAACTGGGTTTCAACTTGCCAAAGATTACAACTAGACCTCTATCTCTCACCATGCACTAAATTAAAATCAAAATGGATTAAAGATCTAAATATTAAAACAGAAACACTGAATCAGCTGGAAGAGAGTTTAGGAAGAACTCTTGAAGGCATTGGTGTAGGAAAAGATTTTATGAACAAAACCTCAGTTGCCCGTGAACTAGCACAAACAATCAACAAGTGGGATCTCTTCTTACTAAAAAGCTTCTGCACAGCAAGAGAAACCACCAACAGGGTGAAGAGACAACCCACAATATGGGAAAATATTTTCACCTGCTGTTCCTCAGACAAAGGTTTACTATATAGAATCTATAAAGAACTTAAAAAAATTAGACCTCCCAAATTTAAAGACCCAATCCAAAAATGGGCATCTGAAATGAACAGACATTTCTCAGACAAAGAAGTAGAAATAGCAAACAAACATATGAAAAAATGTTCAACATCACTGATCATTCAAGAGATGCAAATGAAAACAATGTTGAGATTCCACCTCATCTCAGAAAGAATGGCTGCTATCATGAAATCAACCAATAACAAATGCTGGCAGGGCTGTGGGGAAAGAGGAATCCTGCTCCACTGCTGGTGGGAGTGTAGACTGGTGCAACCACTATGGAAATCAGTGTGGAGATACCTCAAAGAACTAGGACTGGAAGTCCCATTTGACCCAGCTATTCCTGTGCTGGGCATCTTCCCCAAAGAATTAAAAGAATCATACCACAGCGATATATGTGCATCCATGTTCATAGCAGCACAGTTTATAATAGCTAAAACTCGGAAACAGCCCAAATGCCCATCAACTGGAGCCTGGATGAAGAAAATGTGCTTTTTATAAGATGGAGTACTCCTCAGCCATAAAAAATGAGAAATTTCAGATATTTATAGCTAAATGGATGGACATTGAGGTGATACTCTTAAGTGAAATAAATAGGACACACATGTGTAAATACCAAATAGTTTCTCTAAGTGTGAGAAACTGACAGTGTAAATAAGGACTAAAAGGTATAACAGATAATGTGAAATAGGAAGAAAAGGGACAAAGGGGAAGGGGAAGTGGGAGGGGCAGGGGAAAGGAAAGAAGGGCATGAAATTAATATGAGAAAATGAAAAAATGGAAAGAAAGTCTTTGTAAACAGGGAGGGATGGTGGGGTTGAAGGGAGGGCAGGGGACAGGGAAGAGAGACTATGTAAAGGTTTAAATTTCTAATGATGAATGTCATTACCTTGTATACCTAAAATGTACCAATAAAATAAAATTTAAAAGAAGAAAAAAAACCCTCCAGTTGTTGACTGAAATGCTCACAGGGACAATGTCCTTTGTGGGCCCGGCTGCTGGTCACTCAGTTTCCTGCTGGCTTTCAGGCATCCTTCTACCGACACCCGGGGAATTGGCTGGCACCCTGCATGGACTCCCCCTGGTGGAGGTGTCCCCAGCATGTCCACCAATAAGGGCCACGCAAGCCCCAATCCTATAGGATACCTCTGGCCTGGGTGATGGCAGGAAGGGACAAGCTGACGTCCCTTGGGTGACGCAGGGGACAGGCACAGCTGGTGAATCACTGTGGAAGGACTGGCAAGTACAGTGTGCTGGGGAGGCTGTCTGACTGGTTTTTAGCTTTCTTCCCTGCCCACTGTGATGGGGCTGCTTGGCTTCTTCCCCAGCCTTAGAACCCTCGGAAGGCACCCATGGCAGAGCTCTCATCGCTGACCAGCTGCCCACTCTCCTGCCAGGGGGCTGTGACCCCTCAGCCACAGCCCCAGGCTGCCCAGCTGTGAGGCCTCACAGCCCGGACATGCTCCGACACTCTGCAGGGACACACACCCAGAAAGGGGGTCCTTTGGTCTTCCTGGATTAATGCTCATTTGTTGACTTCATTCCTCCCCCACCCATAGCCTCTACACTAAATGAAATCCTCAGCCCTTTTTTGTTTTGAAACAGCTAAGTGGCTGAGTTGCCTAGACTGGGCTCAAACTTTGCAATCCTTCTGACTCAGCCTCCCAGAGTGCTGAAATTACAGATATGTGCTACCAAGCCTGTCTCCAATTTGTTTCTATGACAGTACAAAGTCATATACATTCCCCAGAAACATCTCCAATTTGGTTTGACTGAGGAGACCTTTCCCTCCTGTCGTCATTTTTTGTTTGTTTTTTGGTATCTGGGATTAAACTCAGGACTTGCAAGGCAGGGGACAGCACCACTGAGCTAAATCCCCCGCCCTCTTCTGTCCTCATTTTTTAACACTGTAGTCCAAAGGACACATCCTTCTGGGGAGACCTCCTCCAGCCATCACCTTGATGGAGGCCTCTAGAAACCAGGCTTAGACCAAAAAGGAAAACAACAGAGTGAAGGGAGAAACGTTCTGGCCTCCAGGGCAGTGAATGCCCCCTGAAACCAAACTGACGCACAGAGAACATGCGGAACATGCAAGCTGATGGGTCACCATGCCTGCGCTGCAGCGAGGCCTCTATGGAAGCCCTGCATGCCCACCTTGGAGAGAGGAATGAGGAAGTCCAGCTTGTATGAGAGGATCACTCTGGTGAGCAGCACCACAAACACCACATAGGCGGAGTTCTCAAAGTCAGTCAACTGCACCTGCATGAGCAGATGCCCAGAGACATCAGGGAGCAGCTCACGGCCTCTCTTCCCTCCCCTGGCCCTTCCAGAGGGCACCATCCCAAGCCACTTCCTCCTTCCCATTGGGGCCCGAAGCCCTTGCCCACATTTCTGTTCAGAACAAGTGCACTGGATCTCTCCGGCCTCTTAAAAAACTCAAGAGCCTTCTGATGAAAGCACCAGAAGGGATGAGTGGCCGCGAGCATGAGAGCCTCACCTCCATGGGGCGGAATTCCACTCTCCAGCCAATGTCGGAGTGAGGGGGCGGGGGCTTGAATCTCATTGTCTGCCAATTTGTGGACTGAATATTCTAGAATACAAAACAGCAGAGGATAAGAGCAACTCTTCACAAATTCGGGAAAATATTGCAATGACGTGGTTTAATCAGAGAAGACTGCTGTAATTTAAGATTTTCTTGAGTGTGACATTTTAGGAAAACAAGACAGTAAATGTCCAATCAGAGTCAGGTGCTATCTACAGCACTGAAATAAATGTACAGTATAGGTTTGAATTTTCCATCATTAAGCAAACAAGAGAAAAATACTGAACACAGAAATGTAGAACTGAAAAAACAACTAGTAAGAATTAAATAAGGGTACTTTAAATCAATTTTTAATTTTTTTTTTTGGTACCAGGGATCAAACTCAGGACCTTGCATTTGCCAGGCAGGCGCAGTGCCACTGAGCTATGTCCCTGGCCCAATTTTTAATTTTTCCTAGTTCTTTACTACACTAAGAAATGAGAGACATGTGAGACTTCGACTGTCACCAATTCCTCATAGGTACAGAAAATTGTCTCTTGGTTTGTGCAGTGAAACCCATATGAAAGAGAGGCAATACCTCAAAATGGTCAGACTCATTAGCATCATCCAGGTCGATTTTCTCTTTGAACAACGTCAGGGGGTCTCTGATGAAGAGATGAGCAACATGCTGGGCCAGAAGGTGATCGATGCCTGCAAAGACAGAGCACATGGGCCCCTGCCAGACCACCACACCACTCTCCAAGTCCAGGCTGAAGCAAGGGCATCCAGGAGCTTAGGAATCTGGACTGCAGCACTCAGCTCGCCTAGGACTTTATCCTATGGACCTGGGGAGTCAGAGTCTCACTCACTACTTACACAATGCCTGTGGGGCACTGGTGTGGACCTAGACACAGAGCTCCAAAGTAAGTTCCTTTTGCTAAAATTCAAAAAAATCTCACAAGTATTTCGAACTTGAGCTTTAGGAACAATCAGTCTCATAAGAAAAGTTAGAGACTTCACACTAAAAACAGAAACCTGACCAGGAGTCAGAAAAAGGTGAAGAGTGCTTTCAAGATCAAAGGTGTACAGTCAAATACAGACATACTGCAGGGCAGCTCACCGTTCTGCACCAGCTGCTCATAGACTCCTTTATCTATGGTCAGGTCGATGTCGTTGTATTTCTCACCACACTTAGATAAGTAGCTGTCTATGGAGTCGTATCGGGACTTACTGATTCGATAGTTATTGTTCTTCAGTGGCTAAAATACAAAAACTCAAATCAACGCCACATTGGTTGGAAAGTAACACCGCAACTAATATATAACAATGGTTTTTAAGAACATATGTCTAGACAGTGCATTCAATAAGTTGTAAATAATTACACAAAGACCAGAGTGGAAGCCAGGCATGGTGGTATACCCCATAATCTTAGCACTCTGGGAAGCTGAGGCAGGAGGATCACAAGTTCGAGCTCAGTCTAGGTGACCTAGTGAGACCCTGTCTGAAAATGACAGATTAATTAATTAAGGGGGGTGACGGACTGGGGATGTAATGCAGTGTGAAGGCCGTGGTTCAGTTAGAGTAGAATAGCCCTAGCTGAGAACATCAGAATTCTTGTGGGCAACTCCTTTAAAAACATCCACTCCCAGGTCCCAGCTACAAAGATTCTCAGTCACAAGCCTGGGAGGGGTTGGGCCGATTTAACATCTCTCCATAGGGGATTGTAGTGTACACTGCTGTCTGGTGGGACGCAACGCAGTTCCATAGCTTAACATGAGAAGGAGCAGGCTGAGCCACCCTCAGTGGTCAAAGCCTTTCTTTCTCTGAGGACAAGGCATGCCCCACAGCACAAAGTATCTTATACAAAGTGCTCATGTGGGGCCCAGCAGCCTTCAGCATGGACTTCCAAATCACAGAAACCTGTGCTATCATTTTAAAAGAAGGGAAAGCAAACACAGATTTCAACAAACGATGAAAACTATTCTCTACCCAAACCAAATCACTTTCCCCACATACTCACCCCACAATAAAGAGCGGTTTATATCCTGTGTGCTTCTTCCCACACTGACCAAGCAACTCGAGGTGAACAGTGAGGGGAGATGTCAAGGCTGCAAATGGTCCCAACAACCCCATTTACCCCATTACCACAGTCTAAAGGACTATTAAGGAAAATCATTCCACCTCCAGTCCTCTCTCTTCCCGAGTTCTGTCATCTACAGATGCAGAGATCACTCCCCAGCGACAATCAATGTCTGACACGTAGCCTCGGTAAAAAGGAGACGCAGCACTCAAAGCCATCTGCAAACAAACAAAGTCAGCTCCTGTGGTTCAGAGCACCACTTACATGATGAAAAAAGCATGCATGCATTTTCTGGTCAAGAACCATTTATGCAACCCATATGGAGTTACACCACACCTACCTGGGCCTGCTTTTTAAAGAGAAATGAGCTGGAAATACCCCAAATCTGTGGATTTGACCTGTTTAGCCCTACAATGTGGGGGCATGATACAAGAAGGACAAGGGCCACACACACACCTGACATGTGTGTAACACACATGTGCTTCACTAGCCACAATTAAGGGTCTACAGCTTAGACTTTTGGTTCACTAGCTCTTTATTGGCATGCTATTTACATTGCTCATTTCTGAAAGAAGCCTTAACTGGGCTAAAACAGCACACTGTTAGCAAATTCTGCACATGCGATCTTTTATACAAAGATGTATTTAAAATAAAATGTAATTTCTACTTACAACAATTGGACAGATAGTGGCCAGCTGATCGTAAAGGTAACTGGCCTCAGATATGCTGCAGGCTTGGAACGTCACCTGTTTTAAGAATGGAAGATGTTAACATCAACAAAGACTGATCAGCATCCTCCGAAGGCAGTGAAGTCTGAGAATGAAGGTGGCTAGGGGAGGGGGCAGCAAGGTCACAGCCACATCAGAGCCTCCTGTAATCCAGAATCTTGCTTACAAGCTGCCATGGGTGAATTTAACTAGAAAGTGCTATTTTATTTTATTTATTTATTTTTATTTTTTGGTACTGGGGATCAAACCTGGGACCTTGTGCTTGTGAGGCAGGCGGTGGCACCACTGAGCTAAATCCCTGGCCCAGAAAGCGGTATTTTAAACACATTCTGTGACACAGGGACAACCTATTTAAGTAACTATATTCCTAGGTGAAATTGGACACACATAACATGGTGAAGCTGATGAGGCATTTCCTCTTCTACTAGCATTTTTCTTCCTGCAGCTTCCTGTCACTTCAGTTAGCTGAGGGCTTATTTAAATTTTGGTGGCACAAGCCTGTTAATAGCAGCACTTGGAAGGCAGAAGTTTGAGGCCTGCCTGGGCTACAGATTGAGTTGAAGGCCAGCCTAAACTAAATAGCAAGACCCTGTCTCAAACAAACAAAAATGGTAGGGATTTGGAAGTATCTGTACAAATGGGGAGCAGCTGGGAAGAGAGCAGGACTAATGAGAAAGGAAAGCAGTACAAACACTCAGCTGAGGCGAGCAGAAGGTGGCATGCAGGACAGAGTGAGGAATCATTTAAGTCTGCCCTGGGTGTTCCTGGGACACACAGGAAGGGGTTAGAGAGAAGAAGCTGCAACCCAGCAGGCTATGAATCCAGAGGGAAAGACAAGAGGCCCCAGCTTGGTCTCCATCGTTGTAACTGGAAAAAAAAAACCTGAGCTGGAGAAACATCTGGAGATTAGGCCTGGAAGATGGGGAGACCTGAAGGTGGGAAGACCGCATAAGAGGGCAAGGAGAGAAGGGTCCTTTGCAATATCCAAAAGAAACCAGAGACGTCCTGCCACCTTTCATTGGGAAGGGTAGAGATGGTGGTGGAAGGAAGAAGGAACACAAATCGTATCTCTATTTGCAAGTTTGTTGTAATTGCAAATTGAAGAGTTTTAATTTTATTACTGTTACTCAGTAATGAGCATTTACATTTGGTGTTGGTGCAGAAAATAATGTACATGCTCAGTAAGCACTTGCACAACACATGTAAAAGTCGTTTTTTTTTTTGGTACCGGGGATCCTTGTGCTTGCACAGCAGGCGGCGAAACCACTGAGCTAAATCTCTAGCCCAAAAGTCGGTTTTTTATATAACAGCTGAATGAGCATGTTTATTGTTAACAATCTCATCTCAACTTTGCCTTATTACAGACAACTTCTGTGAGAGACTCAAGTACACCTACAGCGCTGTGAGTGCAGCTCATGTCAATGGGGTGACTACAGAAAACAATTATTTGAACAATTTAATGTCCTGGCCTTTCTATAATTTCCATATTGATGCTTAAGCTGGCCCAGTCCTTTGAGTAAAAGGTAATGATAATTAACTAGCTATTACTGATTAATTCACTGTGGAGAAGAGTTGTGTCACAGACATGAAGAAAAAAAGTCTCAAAGGTTAAAAGGAAGTTTTAGGAGGTTTGGTGGTTAGGTCACTGATAACCAAAGCAAGGGCAGCATCTGCAAAGAATGAGAACTTGGAAATCAATTTGTGTGAGGTAAGGAAACAAGGATGCCCTGACAGCTCTTTAGTGCTTAACAAATATTTATTCATAGAGTATTCTGAAGGAAAGAGGGTGACAATGAAGAGAACACACAGACAAAGCTGTGGTGAGATAACTGAAAAACTGATCTCAATGACAATTTATAAGGATGAGATTTAAAATACCTAAATGCTTCCCACATGATGACTGATGAAATCCGTTGAACATGAATCTCTTAGTTTGTTTATGCCCCTTTTGTGACTCTGGGGTGTTTTAGTGTTACTTTTTTTGGTATTTCAAAGATACTACAATAAACCTTTTTTCTTTCCTGTGTTTTGTTGGCTTTTCTTAGCTGGCCTAGGACACACAAAGCAATTTATAGGCAAATCTTGGAAAAGTCAACCTTCGGAAAGTTTACTTAAGAAAATTAGCAAGTGTAACCTGGTATTTAGTAACCATCTGGCTTACTCTAGAGCATGTCCACCAAATAAAACAGGGTATCAGTGTGGATAACAGCTTTAATGGGGACAGGAAAAGAGATCTCACACCTTTACAAGGTGCAAACACACGAAGAGATTTGGTTTCTGGGTCCTTTTAAAGTATCACATAAAGAAGAGTCACCATTTCACTAGGAAACTGATGACAGGGGAAAGAGCTTTGAAAAGTAGATGCTAGAAAGCGAATCTAAAGCTGCCCTAGCACCCAGTTTTGAAGTCACACGATTATTTCAGACAGAAATAAACTCCTCTAACATGTCATGAACTTACTAAATGATTTCTGAGAAGCCCAAAAAGAATTAAGAATCTGAATGTGATTAAAATGTTTTTTGTTCAGTACAGGAATTCTTTAAAAAATTACTTCAAAACTCTTTTCCTACTTTATAGTAACAAGCAATTTCTACTATATCACTTAAGAGATACAAAGCAGAGGTTTCGGTGATTATTTGCAGAATTTATCTCATTTGCCACACATTTTACATTATCTGTCATTGATTTTTAAAAGTGAAGTGTTAAGACTGGACATGTCACTGGGAAAACAATATTACTAAACCCATGACAAGGCTTAATTATTTTTGCACTACTAAAATGTTTATTCCTACCATTAAGATAAGTTTATTTTTCAAACAGTGTTTCAAGGGAAAGAATGCTTCTCTGGAACTATCTTAGAGCAACTGTGCTGTCCTTGGCAAAACTCCCTGGCTTATTATTAAATCAAGAGAAGGCACTGGGCACTCTGTTAGCACTTACACAATTCTGAAGCCAGGTACTTTAAATGCTAGAGTGTAATGGCTCACTTTAGACGTATTCGTAATTAAGATAGGACAGCAGATGCGCAGTTTAAAGTCAAAGGGTCTCTTTGTAAACTAAGGGTGCTCATTTCTAAGGAAACTTATCAGGCCTTTATTTTGAAGTTGCATATCTTACACTGCCTACTTGTGTCAAGAAAACTGAGAAAAAACATTAAGCTTGGCCATGTTATTTGAACATACTTGGCATGGAAAAATCTGACCTTGGCATTCAATTTGGGCTACACACAGCTTCAAAAACAATCAGGTTGGAGGTCTACATGTAAGAAGATGCATGTATCTGCTGCAGCTGTCGGAGATGAGAACGCTAGGCATTTTGGGCTCTGTTGAGAGCCATGAGGGTGAAGCCCAGGGGTGCCCACAAGGGCCAGGCTTCCTGGGCTCTGGGCCCCAGGGACTCTGCTTCTAATCAGCTGAAGCAATTACAATGGAAGAAAATCTCCTTGGACAATAAATAGCCTCTTTCTCTTTTTAAATTTTAAATTCTCAAGTTGAAAATTTATATTTTGGTCAATTTCCCTTGTTATAGCACAACCTCAAACAACTTAGAGGTTAAGCATTTGTTAATAAAAGCAATGAAATAAATGTTAGCTCAAAATCAGACCCAATATAAACCTTTCTTTCTTTCTTTTTTTTTGGTACCAGGGATCAAACTTGGGTCCTTGCACTTGAGCAGCAGGCGGCAAAATCACTGAGCTAAATCCTCGGCCCTATAAGCCTTTTTTTTAACTGAAAACTGAGAAAACTAAGCCAAAAAAGTGAAAGGCATTACCCAAGCATGGGAGCAGACAGACCAACACCCACACGGGCTTCCTACATGGAGGCCTCTGCTCTCCTCCTTAGGCAGAGGGTGGACAGTGCAATAACTCTCAGGGACACTGGGATCCAGGAAGAATGTTAAGGACGTTCACAGATGAGGCCTACTTTACTTCTGGCATAACGTAGCCAGGGAAAAGGCAAACGTAGGTCACTAAATATTTATTCTTTTATGCCACTAGATGGCTTTGCACTAATATAGAAATTAAAGTCCAAACAATCTTTCTCTTGGATCAGCAAATCATTGGAGTGCTTCCACCACAGCTCAATTTCAGAAAGTGTTTTGTTAAACTACCACTAGGCAGCAGTACAAATTAGGCAGAAAGTGACCAAGGACCGCTCTGCATTTTGTTAATTAATGACTATATACTTTTGTAGTGAACTTAAGTCGAGACAGTTTCAAATGAATATACTAAAATAACTTTTGTTTTCAGAAAGGCATGGCAGCTACCATTTCAATCTCATTAAGTGATTTTTGAAATGGAAAACATGATATATATATATAAAAAGAAATGGACAAGGACATTTTGCCCTGTGCATTTCAAACAGTACCTGAAGGCAGCAATTGCCCATCCCGAATCCCATGGCGTCCATGTAAATGTGATCTGGCTTGGAAGCCCTGGCTGCCTCATCATCCTCAGGAAATGTTTCTATGAAGGGAGACGCTGTGTTCTTGTCCTTAAATACTGTATTAGTAGTGAAGAAAAGGAAATAGTGAGAGTCAGGGGTTAAACAACAGTGCAGCAGTTGTCTCCTGCCCCACCTCCCCTCTGCGGACTCACTTGGTACGTTGATGACAACCTTCTCCCCTCTCCTGTGCCGGATATTTCTTGTCAGGGTACTAGAACAGAGAACCAAATATCAGCAACTGGGTGCCTGCGAGCCATTGTCTAACAGGGCATGTGGCCACACATTTCCCGTGAATGGAATGAAACCCTACCTCACACTAACACTCTTCCAGAGAACATGCTGTGCCCAGGTGCTCTAAAGGGACTTTTGGAGAGAAGGTCTGGAGTTCCAGCCATGCCCTGGCTCTTGCTGCTCACTCCCTGTGCCTCCATGGCTCCCTGCTCCTTACCAAGTTCAGGTGTTTTTCTAATAGTCCCCACTTTATCAGGCATCTCTGGAGTTCCAGTGCCTCACCCCTCCCTCCCCAATCTGTGCTGGCCAATCTAGAAGCTCCGGGGCACACTGAGCTGCGAAGCAGAAATGCAGTTAGCTCTGATTCTCACCTGCCACAAGAGTAATACATACTAGTTGGGAAATCTGGTATAAAAATTAAAGTAAAAATTCTTATTCAGTATTTTAAAATGGTAATTACGTGTTGAAATAATACTTTGGATATACTGGATCGACTAGAATAAAATTCAGTTCCTCTATTTTTTTCACATCTTACTAGGAAATTAACAATTATATTTGTGGTTTCCATTATGCTCCTAGTGGTTAGTGCTGGTTATGCCATCTCTTCTAGGAAGCACTCATGGTGCAAAGCCAACGTCAGGCTGGCCGGGGCCCTGAAGCCATTTGAAGTGTAAGAACCAAACTACAAACTGACAGGCCTGTCAACAGAACAGAAGCGAGAGAGCCCTATCGTCTACAGCAGGGAGCCCATCTTTCACACAGTCACAGGACACAGGGTGAGGCAGGAGGTCACAGACATCAGTGTGATTTAGAGCAGCAACCGAGAGAACACATCCCAAACTGATGTTCAAGGAACAGGGCTGTGACACATCTGATCATTAAGGAGGACAACAGCTAAGCTAGTGACTTTAAAAATGACTTGGAAGTGGACAGATCAAGCCTGGCTGCAAGCAGCCATATTCAGGGAGCCTCGTGCTCTTGAGGATGTGAGTGGTACACATCTCCTGTCTCCTATTCCACTAAGAAGGAAGCCAAAAGGCAGTGAGTCCTCAGACAGCAGGCGTGGGAGGGCACTGCAGCAGACAGCTGGACTCACCTGAAGCGGGGGTGCTTATTTATTGCTTCATCTGGAAAGAAGAGGGACTTTGATGCTCCTCCTTCGACTGGGTTGGGTTTATACACGGGCAGTGTGAACCCAGGACAGCCTAATCTACAACAAATTGAAGAACTTAATAGATGGGATGTATATTCAGGAGTCAACCGCCTTGTCTTGCCATAATTCACATCTGTCAAAAACATCTCATTTGTATTACTTGGATCCCCCTCCCTCTTCCTTGGAAGTGTCACCCCTTCCCAAGCCCTGTCTTGCACGCACTTCACTATCTTGCATCAGGACCTGCTGTAGCTGACTCCATCAGCCTCCATTCACTCCCCATCTACAAAGCCTGTGCTCAGGCCCTCCTGAGAGTGACAGCATGCAAGCGACTTCCTTTGGTTAACTGATAGCATGGGAGTGATAGCAGCTTCTGAGGTGTCCTTCACTAGAAGTTATAAACTCTGAGACCATCTTCTGACCCTTGATCATGACTGCCCAAATCTGGCAGGCTTCTTCTGAATCTGAGTAGGGTCTCTTCAGGTTCTGCCACAGTTAGGCAATATCTCTGGTATTCTTCTCAAGTCTGAAACCTCCCTCACTGTCTTAACTTCAAGAACAGCTCTAATTCCAACACAGAAAAATGCAGCACCTTATTTGTCCCTACATCTAAAGCTTAAATTTTCTTTCCCTTGCACTGAGTCCACTGGCTCTTCCCAGTTCAGAACGTGAGGTCAGTGCTAACAGTACTATGAGGGAGGACAAAGCCTAACAAGGTCAGAGAAAGAAAGCAAAGGAGGCACAAGTCAGAGTTTAGAAGGATAGAAAAGAACTTCTGGCTGGTGGGCCAAGACCAGCCTTTGCCTTATCTTTAACCCCTACATTTCATAAAACGAAAAGCCCAAGGGCTGGCTACTTGCATCTGGCAAACAACTGAAGGTGCTGATCTTACCTAGAAAGCTGCTCCAATGTGTGCCTGCTCGAGAAAACTCCCGCAGCTGTGTGCATCATCTACTAATTTACTACAAGCCACACACTTAGGAAATGTCCTTTAGGGGTGCAGCAAACGTAAACTCAGAGGAGATTTCTCACCAACCAGAATCAGGCTGGAGAAAGAGAATGAGAATGTACTTGTGTGGCTATGAGGAGGAGCCAAGTGTGTATCTTCAGACTCGGGCAGCCCTGCTTTCTTCTAGACCAGTACAGTCCAGCAACAATGGAAATGTTTAACATCTGTGCTGGCCAAACCAATGTAGGAGCCAATAGCCACAGGCAGATGCTGAACACATGAAATGTTCGTTTTATGTAAGGTTAATTTAAATAGCCACATGAAGGGCCTGGGATTTAGCTCAGTGGTTCTGCTGCCTGCCTTGCAAGCACAAGGACCCGAGTTCGATCCCCGTTACCCAAAAAAAAAAAACAAAAACAAACAATAAATAGCCACATGAATGTTGTTCTGGACTCTAGTTCTCTCCAGAGCTCTGACACTTCACAGAGAGACAATCACATGTTTATAATTAAACAGAGCACTCCCTTCTCTCTTGAACCCATAACACAATAAAATGTCATCATTTACTGTAGTTGTAATGGGAAATTTCTAAAAACTAAATCACTAGTAATTATTCCAATTTTGTTTACAAGTCTAAAAATACCCTATCCTAATTCATATGGCTAGGCAAAGTAAATAAATAAATAGAAAGCCCTGTCTCAGCTTTTCCTTCACAGTGACTTAAAAGAGCTTCAACATTTTTAACAGGACAACCAAGTATTTCATATACAGCCATTCTCAAAATTAAGGTATGAGACATGGTAGGGTTTAACAAAATACTGTATTTTGTTGCCCAGAGAGAAAGCTTACCATCTATCAATACTACATATTCTTGAATTTAAAAATATAAGACAGCTCTAGTTTATGTTCCCCCTTTTAATCTGAGGAAAATGTAAGCCCTCTACAATGTTAAGGGAGAAAAAAAGAAAATATAAGACATTGAATTCTCAAGCCGCTAAAAGTTGTCCAGTAATGTGGCGGCCTGCCAGTGGCTGATACTAGCACTCTAAACCACACTGCAACGACCTGCACAACAGCCCCGACATGCCTGCTCTGCACTTTTTGCATTCCCCAGCTCCAGTCTACCCTCAGCCAGGCCACCACGTGCCTCCTTCCCCCTGTTCACAGCTGCTTACGCCACAGACAGACCAGGGCTGCAGAGCAAAAATGTGACCCTGTCCACTTATCCCAACCTTTTCAGGGCTTCCACTGCTTTCAGGGTGACAATCAAAGTTCAGATAACCTGATCTGGCCTGCTGCCTGCCTGACACACACTTGCACCTCACACCGTGCCTCCGGTCTGCACCAGCTAACTAACAGCTTTCTTCCAGGGCCCAGCAGGTGCATCTCACCTGCTCATTGAGGCCCACTGCGCATGCCACTCTCTCTCCCTAGGACATTCCTCTGCTTCAGCTTCAATACTCTGGCTAAGACACATTGCTAATAGGAACTGTCATGGCTTGGAGTTAACATGTCCCCAAAGTCTCATGCATCTGGAAAGTGGTTGATTGTGGGGTTTCATCCACTGACAAGCTCAGGAGCTGACTGTGCAGTAGGAGGTGGTAGCTGGGGCATGACCTGAGCTTGTCCCCAGCTCTGCCCTTCTTCCTGGCTTCCTGGCTGCCCAGGGATGAGCAGCTGTCCTTCCCTGCCCTTCTACCTGTACTTCTGTCTTGGAACCAGCCAACTCTGGACTGAATTCCCTGGAAACTGTAAGCCAAACAGAACTCTCTTCCTTTAAGTATTAGGTGTCAGGTGTTTTGTTCCATCGTGGGAAAGTAACTGATGACAGCGACTAACCTGGGAAATGAAGTTATTGTGCAAAGAGCCTGGTTTTCCTCTAATACGGAGGTAGCCTCCTGGCGGCGCTTCCTCATGTTGTCCTCCACCGTGTTGAATTCAGACATAGTCCCTCCGTAGGGCTGTCCAGGTGTCCCTTCAATCATGTAACTCCCATACTCTGGTCTCCAAAGGGTAGGATGGCTACAGGGAGAAAAAGTTTGTTTTAATCTTAGTCTTTTGCTGCAGGCTACTTGAATTTTAGAAGTTTGAAAAGTTGCTTTAAAACTCTGAACACCATTAGCTCTAAGCAAAGCTAAGAACTGCTTCATAAGGCTCTTAACTTTCATGGCTCTTCCACTAATGTAAGAAATAAAAAACATATTTGTAAGTCACTCACTGCCCGGGACAAAGCTAGTGCATGCTGCACGAAAGGAGCGAGTGGTCCTCAGTGGGTTCAAGCCATTGCAGCTTCCCATGCTTGCGAGCAGAAAATGACCACAGCTCACATGCCACTGCCCTGTGTGCTCCCAGCTGCTGTTAAAACATCACACTAGCCAAACAAAGCCTACCTCCAGGAGTTTGATCTGGCACCATGGGGTATGATCTTAATTGTTTTGGCAATTTAAAAAAAGTTTAGTAATAATAAACAGGCTTTATGTTTAGCTTAATGTGTTGTTTTAACACATTAATGTATTCAATCTCAACACTGCAGAGGCAAGTATTGATTATTACTTCTTTACAGATGAGGAAACTGAGGCACAGAGAGGTTTACAGCTACTACTGAGTAAAGGAACCAGTATTTGAAACTGAGTCAACTTGGAGCAAGAGCCCGCACTCCTACGCTATGCCATCCTGACTCTGTAAGTGTGAGGAAAGGCTGTCTCAGCAGTGCCAACTGTTCCGGAAACACTGGATCAAGCTTCTAGTACAGCAGCAGCTTACTTTGGATTTGTCCTTTCCCCCTTCTCTTGTAGAGTTTCAAGAACATCTTCTCCATTCAGGATCAACTGGACCTTCTTATTTTCATGATCAAAAGATACCAACATGTATTCCACCTATGGAAAATAAGACAGAAAGATTAACATTTTTCCAGTCCTGAGCTCAGTGTGACCTTTAGAGATAAAGTCAGGGAAACATGAACAGTCACATTTGCTTACACTACCACACACAGGAGGGTATGTTTGCATACTATGGAAACCCGCAGAGGCGGCCCATTCACAGTGGCCTTGTTTATGGACAAGAACACATTTTTTAATGCCTTGCTCCCCTGTTTATTCAACGTCCTACAGAAAGGTCAAAGTGTCCACTGTGACAAGCTCTACTTGACAGATGCATTTCGAAGCTAAGGTTCTATGAACTACAGTTGTAAACAAGTTCCATTTTAAACTTTATTTCCTCATTTAGTTTATCACAGGAAAGTGGTTTTCTGGAAATTCCACTTAAGAAAGATTACACTTGGTCGCAGATTGTTTAATAATTGTGCTTGCTACAAAAGTCCTACTTTTGATTTTCTTTTTTTGAAACAGGGTCTTGCTATGTAGTTCAGGCTGGCCTTGAACTCACTATGTAGCCCAGACTGGCCAAGAATTTAAAGCAATCCTCCTGCCTCAGTCTTCCAAGTGCTGGGATTATGGGAGTATGCCACCACAGCTGGCAAATGTCCTACTTTTGGAGAGTTAAACCATGCTTATAAACACAACTGTGTGAAGAAGTTCTTTATGGGTTCCTACTATTCAGTTTTGACACATCACAAATAATTTAAGACATTTTCACACTCTGAAACAGCACAAATTTATGATGCAGGGCATATTGGTGCATTTACAATGATACCTGGTGGAATTCTTCTAAGAATCAAGAGCTAAATACCAAAGCAAGTCCTTTCTGGACAGAGCACAACTAGAACTTGCTTTTTGTTTTCCCTGCAACTGCATACTTTAAATCATGCTGGGGGTATGAATAGAGAGGATTATGAATCAGTATGTATACTGACGTGGAAAGGTACAGAACTAGACTATTCAGGCAAATTCCTGAAAGTACTCTTTGCATAAGGCATCGTGACAATGACCATAAAGACATCCTGATATCTCATCTGGTTTTCAGCACTTACAAATAAGGGGCAGGCAACAGTATTCCCCCTATTTTCCTGACAGTTCACATGAAAACACAGATTCTCAGTCTTACACTGTAATGAAAGAGGGACTGGCCTGCAGCTAAGAATAATTAGAAAGAGGGGAAAAATGCTGGTAACCACAGAAAACAGTGGGGTAGATTTAAACAACAGTAAAAAATAAGCTTTGAATTCACTTTTATGAATCATCTTACTGATGAGGTCAGGTACTCATCAAAATTTTTTAGTTCAGGAAACAGTAAGAACTGGGCCAGTGCGGCAGGTGTGTGCTCTGTGCAGGCACTGCCCACAGTGTCAGTCTGGGCACACATGCTGCCAGACAGCACTCATGGAGCTCTGACACCTGATCAGCAAGGCCTGTGCAAAGGAGTGCTGTGCAGCCCCGGGATGGGTGGATGAAAACATGTTGTGTGTAGGAATCGAGTTTGTCTTTAAATGTGTGCAAACAGAAAAGCTGTGCCATGAACTCTTTGTTTATGGATCCTAATCTTCAAATCTATCACACAAAAGTAAATGTCATCACCCATTTTACAGATGTGCACAGAGGCTGAATCAGCTACCCAAGGCCACAAGAGTCAGGCTGTCTCACCTTTCTGCTAGGAGTACAAAGGACAATGAATGATTCTGGTAAGGTATGACAGGCTTTTTATAAAGTTGTGAGCCGTAAGGCAATGAAAGGCTACAGTACTGGCTAACAGTCTCTCAGGTGGATTATTCCTCTGGTAGGAAGCAGGGCAGATGCTCTAACACAGCAGCTGAGCCAATAGCTGCTCTCACAGTTAAACATACAGGCCATAGCTCACCTCTTAGGGCCACTGGGCTGGAGTCCCCATGATCCCTATGTGGCATTCCTAACTCTCAGTCCTTTAGCATTCTGTCATCTTCACTTCCTGGCTGCAACACAGCTGCCGCCATCTACCTTACAAGAGCTGTCTTCTCCCCCAGAGAAGTGCTTCCTTAAAGAAATAAGGAGATAGTTCCTAGCTTTGCATCCTTGGTCTATTTCCAACATAAGCAAGAACTTTTGTTGCAGTGAAACAGGGTAACTTGTAATAAATTTGTTGGTTTCCTGGAAGACTTGAAATCCTTAGTTTTCAAAATCACTCAGCCTCCAAGTAAGGATGAATAAGGCAAAAGGACGAGAAGCTCAAACTCATTCTGAGGTCCAGTATCAGCCAAGTAGATGACATTGAAAATGTTAACTAACTGGCTTCTCCTTAATTAAAAAATAATTACTCCATTATCTAATCAAGCAAATGAAACAAATGTATCAAAATATTTACCAAATGAAGGAGGAAAACAGACCTATTTTCTGATATGTCTAATTTCTTACTGGAAGCCTTAAGAAATTACCGAAAATTTTCAAACTCAAATTTATAGGACCAGGGATTTATTAGTTCAGTGGTGCCATGCCTACCTTGCAAGTGCAAGGTCCTGAGTTCGATCCCTGGTACTGCAAAAAAAAAAAAAAAAAATTTCCGGCCTTCTGAAGTACTCTTCTGTGTAGTCACCCTACACTCTCCACATTAATCCTCAACCTGCTACCACTCTAACCTCTCATTTCTGTTATTTCACCCCCACCATCTCAACACATTTATGTTTATTCCCAACTCTAGTTCACACAAGCACTCAGTTAACTGAATCTTTAAAGCCAAACCAGAGCCTAAAATGAGTTTGGTTTTGAACCTAGAAAATGATTGATAACCCGAAGTGATTCAATAAAACAATGCTTTCCCAGTATAAAAAACCCAAAGCCACGATGAGCTCCCTGATACTGTCCCTATCCCTCATAAACAACTTCTCTGCATCCAGTGGAGATAAACAGACACAATCAAGAGACAATAATGACAGAAGATTCAGCGGGCCTTCTGTACCACATCGATCCCCAGGATTAAACACACAGTACTCCCCTTTATCCAAGGTTTTGCTTCTTACTGTTTTAGTTACCACAGATCAAAAATACTAACATTTGTCTTGACGCTTTTGAGAGAACAGACACGTAATTTTTATTTCAATAAGTATATTACTTATTGTTAATCTCTTACTGTGCCTAATTTATAAACGAGGATTTATTACTATAGATACACAGGTACAGGAAAAACAACGTATGCATAGGGTTTGGTACTACCCAGGTTTCGGGCATCCGCTGGGGGTCTTGGAACATATTCCAAGGAGAAAGGGGGTTACCTTATCAGCTTCCTAACTGAATAGGTAATAAGCTCAGAATTCCAGCAATATCCCTTATGTACATCTCAAATACATGCAATTGTGAAAGCATACACCCAAAGAGCACGGCAAATGCTCACTTTGCAGGCTGACCAATTCAATTTCAGGTAATTAACACACTACCTTGGAAGTAGCAAGCTCCATTCTCCACACTACACAGATGACAGCTCCCTAGAATGGACTTAGGAGCTTGCTACTCTGCAGTTGCCCTTTGAAATGGGGACAATGGATCCAATAAAAATAATGAACCTCTTTGCCAAATCACTCATGTTTTAAAAATATACCTTTTTGGGGGGTTTTTCTGGTACCGGGGATTGAACTCTGGTCCTTGTGCTTGCACAGCAGGCGGCGGAACCACTGAGCTAAATCCCCGGCCAATATACCGTTTTCTGAGAATTAAAATCCTTTACATCCCTGTTACTAAAAGGCTTCTCTCATTAGAATAAGTCACCAACATCTCTGAGCAGCTGACTTAAGGGCAAAAACACAATAAAAACTGAAAAAAAAAATTTTTTTAAATGGTTTGAAGGATATGAGAAAAGAAAGACATTATGTACTTATGTGTTACACAGTGTTGCTAGGAACAACCTGGACACGATAATCCTCCAGTCATTTAATGCAGGTTTGGACAAGGGTAATAAGGTGCTTAAGTTTATTTAAAAGTAGGCCAAAAAAAAATCTTAATAGAGGGTGATATAAGTACTGTACTCTATAATACTGAATATAGACTAGACATGGAGCAGAATGCTTGTGATTGTAAAGTTTAAAATAAAAGCTAACATTTAATTTTTTTAGGATTTATGTTAAATCTTTAAAGGGCATGAGTGCAAAATTTTTTAAAAATTGTTTTTTCTTAGTTTTATACATTTTGATATTCTTTCTTGAGGGTAAGGGCTTCCAGGAGCTTCGAGTATAGACAGGCATGTTATAAAACACTGACTTCTTTATTTCTACACCTGAGAGGTGAAAACTGCTTAATTAGGAAATATTCTAGTTCCATAAGACTCAGTATAGTTACGGCAGCTTCCCATTTGGAGACATTATACTTTGAGAAAGTTCTTCTGTCAGTTTACGTATAAATTAGAACAAGGAATTGCTCCACTCACAACTACACAAGCCCAGCATGTACGCGCCGAGGAGGAGGAGCCCATCACCAAGTCCCTGGTGGGCAGTATGCACCTGGCAGTGGGTGACCTGGGGTGAGTCCACACCCCAGGCCAGGTCAGGTCCAGGAGGCAGACAGTGACAGCTCTGCGTGCCTGCCAGGAGGGCTGTGGGGCAGGCAGGCAGGGTCTCGGCCACCCTCCTGAGGCCTAGGCTTCAGGGCCGGCCCTTCCACTCCACCCTTGGCTCTTTCCACAAATTACCCTACACAAGTCCATGGCTGTCCTGTGGGCCAAGGCTCTAAGGAATGTTGATGACTGATCAGTGCCCAAACACTGTCCCTGCCGTCTCTTCATGCTGCATGAAGCCCCGAGCTGAGCACGACGGGCATACTACGAAGGGCCCGGCAGATGTGGCTCCTGTTCTCAAGACCACTCCTACTGGAGACAGCCGACAACAGGGCATAGCTAAGTTACCTGCGTTGGCATGCAGAACGACCAACTAACCCCATGTAGGGAATCAAGCTTCCCAGAGGAAATCCACTTACATTTACACACCTTCCTAGAATATGGGCAAAAGCAAGGCTCCTCCAGGATG